CTGGATGGAGAGGAGTACGGGCCGCACCAGCGAGCCCTGGAGGCTGACGCTTACATCAAGTGGCCCCGGGAGACGACGCAGGAGGCGCTGCTGGCTAATAATGGGGGAAACCTGTCTGACGTCATGCTGGGATATGTGAGTGTGTGTTTGTGTGTGTGTTCACCTATTTGTGGATGCTGGGTCGATTCCTGGCCTCGGCACTTCGCTAGTCGCTACTAGGTTCACTCTCCCTCCCTACTCTAAGAGCCTTATCGTACCTCTTCTTAAAGCTATGTATGGGTCTTGCCTCCACTACTTCACTCTCCAGATTGTTCCACTTCCTGACAATCCTAAGGCTGAAGAAATGTTTCCTAACATCCCTATGGCTTATCTGGGTTTTTAACTTCCAGTTGTATCCCTTTGTTGCTGTGTCCCATCTCAAAAACATTCTGGCCCTATCCACTTTGTCATTTCCTCTCAGCATTTTATACGTCGTTATCATGTCCTCCCCCAACCTTCATGTCTTCCAGTGTCGTCAGGTTGAGTGTACTCACCTAGTTGTACTCACCTGGTTGTGGTTGCAGGGATCGAGTCATAGCTCCTGGCCCCGCCTCTTCACTGGCCTCTACTGGGTCACTCTCCCTGCACCATAAGCTGCATTCAAATTCAAATTCAAATTCAAAGTTTATTCTCTATAAGGATTACAATGCTGAGTTTACAAAATTTGTGTGGTTTACATGTAGTAAAATAATGATTACAGAGTGTACCACTAGAACACCTAGCATGGCTAGGCATTTCGGGCAGACTTAGTTTAATTCTTAATTTTAAAATATTACAAATTATGAGGTAAGTTGGTATTATGGCTAAGTGACTAAATACTAGTTTGTGAGTTTAGCAATGTGAATGCTTTTGTTTTGGCACAATACATAGTTTCAGTATTCGAGTATCTCAGGATTCATTATTTTAAGATTGAGATTAATATTTCTGTGTATGGTCAAATGAGTGAGTGAGTGTAAGTGTGAACCACCAGGTGGTATTCGTGTAGTTAGTTGACGGGGTGTATCAGGGAGATAAGATGTTTTCTAATGGTGGTTTTGAAGGTGATGAATGTGTCTGCAGTTCTAGAGTTCTCAGATAGGGTGTTCCAGATTTTAGGGCCTTTGACATACATTGAATTTTTGTAAAGGTTTAGTCGGACACGGGGAATGTCGTAGAGATGTTTGTGTCTAGTGTTATGCCTGTGGGTTCTGTCACAACTATCAAGAAAGCATTTTAGGTCAAGGTTGATATTGGAGTTTAAGGTCCTGTAGATGTAGATTGCACAGTAGTAAGTGTGGATGTACTGAACAGGGAGTAAGTTTAGATCTATGAAGAGTGGGGGGGGTGTGTTGCCAGGGATGGGATTTAGTGATTATTCTTACTGCAGCTTTTTCTTGGGTTATTATTGGCTTTAGGTGTGTTGCTGCAGTTGATCCCCAAGCACAAATAGCATAGGTGAGGTATGGATAAATAAGTAAGTGGTATAGTGTGAGAAGGGCATTTTGCGGCACGTAGTATCGTATCTTGGAGAGGATCCCAACCGTTTTGGATACATTTTTGGGTATGTGTTGGATATGGGTGCTGAAATTCAGGTTGTTGTCAAGGTATAGGCCTAGGAATTTGCCCTCATTATGTCTGGTAGTTAGAGTGTTGTCGATCTTAATGTTAATTTGTGCATCTCCTGCTCTACCAATCATAATATAGTAGGTTTTGTCAGTGTTAAGCGTAAGTTTATTGGCTGTCATCCAAGTCGATATTTTGATCAGCTCTTCGTTAACAATGGTGTTGAGGGTGGCAAGATTAGGGTGAGAGATGACATAAGTCGTGTCGTCAGCAAAGAGAATGGGTTTCAGGTGTTGGGATACGTTTGGAAGATCATTGATGTATATGAGGAAGAGCAGGGGACCAAGGACACTTCCCTGCGGAACTCCAGTATCAAGTGGCCGTGTTGTTGATGCTGTGTCTTTAATGGTGACATACTGATACCTATTAGTAAGGTAAGATTTGAAATAAGCAAGCTTTTCTTAGGTTAATAAAAATTCCTAGTGGATATTCCTTATTTTCATACCTCTGCTTAAAGCTATGAATGGATCCTGCCTCCACTACATCGCTTCCCAAACTATTCCACTTCCTGACTACTCTGCAACTGAAGAAATACTTCCTAACATCCCTGTGATTAATCTGTGTCTTCAATTTCCAACTGTGTCCCCTTGTTGCTGTGTCCCATCTCTGGAACATCCTGTCTCTGTCCACCTTGTCAATTCCTCTCAGTACTTTATATGTCGTTATCATGTCCCTCCTATATCTCCTGTCCTCCAGTGTCGCCAGGTCGATTTCTCTTAACCTCACCTCGTAGGACATACCTCTTAGCTCTGGGACTAATCTTGTTGCAAACCTTTGCACTTTCTCTAGTTTCTTTACGTGCTTGGCTAGGTGTGGGTTCCAAACTGGTGCAGCATACTCCAATATGGGCCTAACATACACTGTGTGTGTGTGTGTGTGTGTTAATTATTATTGAAATGTACATACTGATATTGATTTAAACACACACACACACACACACACACACACACACACACACACACACACACACACACACACACCTCTACCACCACCTGTTAAACACCCGTCTCTCTCTCTCTCTCTCTCTCTCTCTCTCTCTCTCTCTGTTGCAGGTGTGGCCAGACAATAGGACAGCTTTCCCTAACTTCTTCAAGGAGTCAGCTAAGGACTGGTGGGTACAAGAGATCAAGACCTTCTACAACACACTCAAGTTTGATGGACTCTGGATTGTGAGTACAGGTAGAGGTGCTCAGAGTACTCAACTCCAAGCATCTTTTATCAAGTTAAAATTAGGATTGACCCTCAGATTTAAAATACTCATGCAGAAGAGGAAGGGATGCATCCGTAAGGCAGCTCTAACTCCTTGTATCACGAGCCCTTCAGAGTCAACGAACCTCCCCCTTCCCTCTCCCGCCTACTTGAAGGGTGTGGCGAAATTGTATTATTATTATTATTATTATTATTATTATTATTATTATTATTATTATTATTAATATATCTTCAACGTTGATATTCACTGCAAACTTACGTCACACTCAGGGTTTATGGGATACCTGGGATACATTCCTCAGGTCGCGTAGGCAATGAAATAGATTTAGTTATATTCATGGGGAAGCGTTACACCCGTAAGCATCATGCAACTCTTGAGAAAAGAGAGGTAATTAGCTTTGATATGAGTGGATATAGCAACAGGTATTAAATACCGTCTACGGTTTCTGATTCCTAAAGCCGCTATTAAATTAACCAGAGAAGCATATATTCCATTACACTGATAATCTGGCAATTATTAGTAACATAATTCACCTTAACACCAAAATGATTGTTATAGCTCCGGAGGCTTGACGAAGGTTAATTAATATGTGGTGGCTGGCGTGACTGTGGGTATGACTGGAGTGTTACTGGATGTCCAGAAGGATGTGGAGTGGTGTACTAGATGTCAGTGAGGGAAGACCTAGGATTATGTTCCTGTTGGGTACTGACTGGTCTAGCTTTTGTTGCGGCAGTCGATGCATAACTCCTGGTCCCTGTGTGAGTGGGTACACCCACCTATTTGTGCTGGCGGAAGTCGCGTCCTGACCCCTACCTCGTATATTGTGTTTGTGTGAGACTTTAAACTCTGAACATTTGCCGACCAAAACACACTTTTTTCAGTCTATAATTACCTATAAACATCATGATAATATATAATGATCCACACTTACTTTAAAAAAAGTTATGTAATGACTGCCATCCAAAATCCAAAATGCGGAAATTGCCCGGACCGAACATTGGATACCATAATCTGTATTTCAATTATCTTGATGCAAGTGTTTCATGTCACTGTCAATGGGAGTTTACATGCACGGAAAATACAGGAGACTATTCTCCGCATTTTTAGGTATTAGAGTAATGGTGGAGTATAGTGTAAAAAGAGTGGATAGAAGGACTAGCCATCCTCTCATTCCCGCAGGACATGAACGAACCCGCCAACTTCGGCACTAACGAACCCAAGCCGTGGAACTGGCCCGAGGACCGCGAACCCTGGAGTCTCTCCTGCCCGAACTCCATCTGGGACGACCCTCCCTACGTCACTAGTAAGTTCGTCATGCTGGGTAGGCCGTGTAGTGGTAGTAATGAAGAATTAGACACATGTGCAACATCTAGGTATCTTCATTGTAGACGTTTCGCCATCCAGTGGCTTCGTCAATACTAATTCAAGGACATAATGGGAAGACTGTAGAACTGTATACAGGAGAAGAGGTAATCAGTCCCTCAGTTTTGGTGTTGGTAAAGAGCACCGTAGTCTTCAAGACTACGGTATTGTATACGATACATGTACAACAGTGGTAGTATGTTAGTGTGGTGCTGGTCGTAGCAGTAGTAGTAGTAGTAGCAGTAGTAGTACTAGTAGTAGTAAGAGGAGGAGGAACGAGGTTGTTGGCTTATCAGTGATGTATGTTTTATCTTGGTTGTTCTTTTGCTTTCCTATTTTTTTTATTTTGTGTAAAGAACTCTTAGTGATGTAAAGTAAAAGGACACAAGTGCAACTAATATGACATTTATTGTGGCAACGTTTCGCTCTCCAGGAGCTTTATCAAGCTTGATAAAGCTCCTGGAGAGCGAAACGTTGCCACAATAAATGTCACATTAGTTGCACTTGTGTCCTTTTACTTTACATATTGTCGGTAATTCTACCAACTTTATTACAACTCTTAGTGATCTCCCAGGTTAGAACACTGAGTGATCTCCCAGGCTAGAGCACAGAGTGGCCTCCCAGGTCAACTCTCAAATCTTCCTGTCTAAATGACACCTTGAAAAAGATTCCGTTCACCTGAACGGTCGTTCTCTCGATTAATTACAATCGTGGAACAGCGCCAACCCCGTGTGCGTTATGCAGCGCTTTTGAAAAGAGGGCTAAAAAAAAAAAATGAATTAATTCAAGGGAGAGGATGTACAGCTACACAGCCTCACCATTCAGTCGAGATCGATGGTGAAATATGTCGAAAAAAAATTTACCGCTGCGTTAAACGAAGGGCAGCTGTAGTTGGTACTGGAACATAACAGCCCCATAGACGATTTTTATCATTCTCTTGCTTTATTATCTCTGTGATTATTTTTTAGCTTTAGTTAAGTGAATACTGTTTATTTGGTGCAGAGGCAGCGTCACACGGGCCAAGCAAGAGGATGTCTGACAAGACACTATGTCTCGCTGCCTCCCTCGACACCTACCGTCACTACGATGTTCATAACCTCTATGGCTGGGCCCAGACACAGCCAACCCACAGGTGAGGCAGCGAGTGGTGTGAGGTGTGGCAGTAAGTGGTGTGAGGTGTGGCAGTAAGTGGTGTGAGGTGTGGCAGTAAGTGGTGTGAGGTGTGGCAGGAAGTGGTGTGAGGTGTGGCAGCGAGTGGTGTGAGGTGGGATGGAGGGGTGGAAAGTGTCGCGAAGGGGAAGAGAGTGAAGTTGTGTGGAGGAGGTGGGAAGTACAGATGTGTTCAGTGTATGGTAATACACAGATAACCGGAATGTAGGAAAGAGAAAAGCTTATAACCATATTTCGGTCCGACTTGGACTATTTACAAGTCACACTAACACACGAAGGTGAGGCAGCCAGCATATATAGGGAGAGGAGAAACAGGACGGAACAAAGAGAAAGAAAGAAGAAATTGAGGAAGCAGTGGTAGATATAATGCTGGTAGTGACAGAAGTGGTAATGGTAGTAGGGGGGAGTAGTAGTAGACAGAAAGGGGAGTGAAGCGAGGCAATAGTAGTAGTAATAGTAGTAGTCGTTAGTGTAGGGGTATAAGGTGGTGGACCTGAGGGAGATGAATGTACGTATAAGAGACGATCGATTTTTAATACGTTAAGTTACTCTCTAGGAATCCAAACCTACATTTTATGCACCTGTATACACAATACACGTGCATACAATGTTAACTGTTAGCTTTGGTAACGGTGTGAGGAGTCACGTCAGACGTGATCATAAATGATGTAGGCCAGGTTACTCACCATGCTGGCCTCGCTGGCCTCGCTGGCCTCGCTGGCCTCGCTGGCCTCGCTGACCTCGCTGGCCTCTTCCATTGTGTGCGGTGTAATCCTGATGTGTAGGGCCAGTCAGGACCATGTAGGGCCAGCCAAGACCATGTAGGGCCAGCCAGAGCCATGTAGGGCTAGCTAGGACCATGTAGGACCAGCCAGAGCCATGTAGGGCCAACCAGGACCTTGTAGGACCAGCCAGGGCCATGTAGGGATAGCAACGACCATGCAGTGCCGGCCAGGACCATGAAGGGCCAGCCAGGACCATGAAGGGCCAGGTAAAAACCATGCAGGGCCAGCCAAGACCATGCAGGGGCCAGCCAGGACCATGTAGGGCCAGGCAGAAACCATGCAGGGCCAGCCAAGACCAAGTAGGGCCAGCCAGGACCATGCATGGTTGACCACGCAGTCAACAAGGTTGCCAGACAAGGCTTCCTGGCCTCCGAGCAAACGTTGCCAGGCCAGGAAAACCCTCGAAGCCGATATGAGGTAAGACTGGCCAAGGCCAAGTGACCATTGACTTATCGGTTAGACTGAGCGATTTGAGTGCTTTCCTCGAGGCCCTTCAAGGTCTCTCAGTCCGAGGAAACAGAGCTGCACTTCCCTGGATCAAATATGATCACAATATAACCACTTCCAAATCACCAAGGCGCGTGACTCCTAAAGGTTTAACGCTTCCCCAATACAATATTATTATTATTATTATTATTATTATTATTATTATTATTATTATTATTATTATTATTATTATTTTTATTGCTGATATTATTATTATTATTATTATTATTATTATTATTATTATTATTATTATTATTATTATTATTATTATTATTATTAATTTTCACTATTCTCTGCTGCCAGGGCGGTCCAGGAGGCGTCAGGAAAGCGAGGTCTAGTGGTGTCCCGGTCCAGCTTCCCTGGGAGTGGCAGGTGGACCGCTCACTGGCTGGGTGACAACCGGTCCAACTGGACCGACATGGCTCACTCTATCATAGGTCAGTGCTTGTGGGTAGCGTGGGACTGTGCGGTCACCGGGGTCGTCCACAGTCACGGGTTGGCGCTAACAGTCACAGGTTGCCGCTAACACAGTCATGGGTTGGCGCTAACACAGTCACGGGTTGGCACTAACAGTCACGGGTTGGTGCTAACACAGTCACAGGTTGGCACTAACACAGTCACGGGTTGGCGCTAACACAGTCACGGGTTGGCGCTAACAGTCACGGGTTGGCGCTAACACAGTCACGGGTTGGCGCAGTCACGGGTTGGCGCTAACACAGTCACGGGTTGGCGCTAACATAGTCACGGGTTGGCGCTAACACAGTCACGGGTTGGCGCTAACATAGTCACGGGTTGGCACTAACACAGTCACAGGTTGGCGCTAACACAGTCACAGGTTGGCGCTAACACAGTCACAGGTTGGCGCTAACACAGTCACAGGTTGGCGCTAACACAGTCACAGGTTGGTGCTAACACAGTCATGGGTTGGCGCTAACACAGTCACAGATTGGCGCTAACACAGTCACGGGTTGGTGCTAACACAGTCACAGGTTGGCACTAACACAGTCACGGGTTGGCGCTAACACAGTCACAGGTTGGCACTAACACAGTCACGGGTTGGCACTAACACAGTCACGGTTGCACTAACATAGTCACAGGTTGGTGCTAACACAGTCACGGGTTGGCACTAACACAGTCACGGGTTGGCACTAACACAGTCACGGGTTGGCACTAACATAGTCACAGGTTGGTGCTAACACAGTCACGGGTTGGCACTAACACAGTCACAGGTTGGCACTAACACAGTTACAGGTTGGCACTAACACAGTCACGGGTTGGCACTAACACAATCACGGGTTGGCACTAACACAGTCACGGGTTGGCACTAACACAATCACGGGTTGGCACTAACACAGTCACGGGTTGGCACTAACACAGTCACGGGTTGGCACTAACATAGTCACAGGTTGGTGCTAACACAGTCACGGGTTGGCACTAACACAGTCACAGGTTGGCACTAACACAGTTACAGGTTGGCACTAACACAGTCACGGGTTGGCACTAACACAATCACGGGTTGGCACTAACACAGTCACGGGTTGGCACTAACACAATCACGGGTTGGCAATAACACAGTCACGGGTTGGCACTAACACAGTCACGGGTTGGCAATAACACAGTCACGGGCTGGCACTAACACAGTCACGGGTTGGCAGTAACACAGTCACGGGCTGGCACTAACACAGTCACGGGTTGGCACTAACACAGTCACGGGTTGGCAATAACACAGTCACGGGTTGGCACTAACACAGTCACGGGCTGGCACTAACACAGTCACGGGCTGGCACTAACACAGTCACGGGCTGGCACAAGCCTTGTAAGGGTCAGACAGCGCCCCAGGAATGACAAAATCATCAAGATTAATTAAAGAAGATGAGAGGGGTAGCTCTCAAATTTCCTGGAACAAGAGCTTCACGCCTTCATCAGAAGCCCCCTTCACTTTCAAGAGTGTCTTATAAGTGACTGTAACTATTATTTTAAAGAGTATTAATGAGAGAGAGAGAGAGAAGGAAATGATGATGGTCTCTAGGCACCATGATGGTAATGCCAGAGCAGTGGTAAGAATCAATGGTACCCGGGAACGAAGTTGATATCCATGGAGTGAAATTTGACTCCAGATTGACCATGAAGAACCATGTTGTAAATCTTGCAAACAAGACGGCCAGGAAGCTTACAGCACTTTGCCGTATCTCGCAACTGCTCGACAGTAAAGGTTGCAAGATTCTGCACTAGGCACAAGTATGGTCACACCTTGAATAGGCTCTACTTTCTTGAATTGCCTGCCCCGCTTCTCATCTGCGACTTCTTGAGAGAGTAGGGAACAGAGCAAGACACCTTATCTCTTGCCTGGACCCAGTCTGGATAGATCTGTCATTTCAGCAGAGCCTTCAACTGCAGAAGGATGTGGGCGGCTTTACTGTTTTGTACAAGGCCAATATTGTCACTTGTCTCCACTCCGAGGACAGCCCTCTTCAAGGGGGGCTCCTTGGCATGGTGAAGAGCTCTTGGTCTGAGGAATTAGACCTGTCAGTCTCCTTCCTCAGACCGAACCTAATTACCCCCAATCCCCCCTTCCCTATCCCATCCTCCCCATCCTCCCCATCCTCCCCTTTTCTCTTTCCTCCTCCCCCTCCCCACCCCTCCCTTTTGCCCTTCCTCTTTTTGGCCTTTGGGATTTTTCCCACAGGCATGCTAGTTCCTAGGTAGGGGAAAGGGTACCAGGGTTCATCTCATTCTGTTGAGGTTCTTGGCGGTGGCGTAGTTTGCCGTGGAATCTGGATCGCCTGGGGATATCCCGATCCCTCTCCTGTATCTCAGAGAGTGGCTTTGGGTCTTTCGGGCGACAGGTGTATCTCTGGAAGCCACCTTTCGGATTCAGGGGGTGGTAGATGAAGGAGGTATGCTTTGTGGCGGATATCTGGCTGCCCTCTCTTTTGTCCACCAAGGTAGCTCGGCAGATGTGAGGTTGCTATCCCGGATTGCTAGTTTACTGGCATGATGGGTAGGGTATGGCACGGGTTCCATGCTGCATCTACGCTACTTGCAGTGCTGAGGTCCTCTTGGGCGCGGAGGGAGATTTCTGGCCCTTTCATTCCTCCTAGGAACTATTCCTCCCCAGTCCCCCCTTTTTTTATTCTTTTTATTTTTATTTTCTTCTTTCTTTTATTTTTCTTAAAAACAAAAAGAAAGAAGTAACCTAACCATGGCAGCCCTAGTCCATGAACCTGATTCCCCCGGGCCCCTTCTTGATACCGCACCCCGTTCTGACCCCGCCTCATCTTTGGACCACTCTTCAGATACTCCTCATGCCTCTGTACCTCTTGCCAGTGCTGTTTCCTCACCCACTTCAGGTACTGAGGTCTCGACTGACTCCTTTGATTTATCTGACCTCCGCTCTCCTTTGACTATGCTTCTGGCCTCTCCCTCTACGGTGCGGCAATTTTCGAATCGCCAGCCCGTTCCACGTCGGACCAATTCTGGTCCCACGCCTAAATGCCAACGACAGTTACCTGCTGATGATACTTCTCCACCTTCTCGTTCTTCTCAGAAACGATCAACACGTCCTGCACTCCCTTTCCATGCTCAGTTTCAGACTGCACAATGGACTAAATTCTTCACTTTACGACCGACTTCCTCTACCGCTTATCTTTCCGACCACAGTATTGGCAAGGCACTCCTATGCCATGTTGGTAAAGATATTTCTTTTCATGCTCTTAAGAGCGGTACATGCATCATCACTGTACAGAATGCTACCCAAGCTCATGATCTTTCTCTTCTTTCCCATATAGATACTGTTCCTGTCACTATTGAAAAACATCATTCCCTCAATTCTTGTAGTGGTACTGTCATTCTGCCCCATACCATAGTTCAACAAAATTTCCAGACATGTGGCAATGACATTCTTGAACTGCTGGAACTCCAAGATCTCCCAATCATCAAGGTAGACACTTATGTTCTTCCTGCTCGCGGGCGGAGACGATACCCTAGCAATGTGGCTCATTTAACTTTTGACAGCCGTGAACTCCCATCCTCAGTTTATGTGGCAGGACATCGGTTACAAGTTCGAAAGGTGATCCCTACACCTCAGCATGTAGAAATTGCTGGCGATTTGGCCATCCAGCTAAATATTGCAGATCCATAGCCGAATGCCCAGTCTGTGGTGCCGATGACCATTCTAATACGTCTTGCAATCGACCTCCCTCTTGTCTTAATTGTCATGAGGCTCACCCTTCGTACTCTCGCCGTTGCCAAGTCTACTTAAATGAGCGGGAAATCCGTTACCTCAAAGAGGCAGAAGGTCCCTCTTATGCCATGGCAGTTTCTCATCTCCGCCTCTGAGGGAGACTACCTCGTGTTTCTTATTCCCGTGTTTCAAAACGTGTCCCCACTTCTGGGGTCCCATCTTCTGCAGCCTCCTCTGTGGTTACCTCTCCCATAGTCACTCCTGTATCTAATTCTTTTGCTGTCCTAGGCTCAGACGTCCCTACTTCAACGCCTCAGTCTGTTCACGCTTCTTTGTGTTCTCCCTCACAAGCCTCAGTATCGATGAGACCTCGTACGACACCTCCCCCCAATCGTCCTTCTACTTCTCAGAAGTCAAAAAAAGGACCTTTAACCCCTCCTTCCCTACTTCCACCTCCTCATTTTACCTTCCCTGTCTCTGTACCGGGTTCTTCCCCTCTCACTGGCTCTGTTACAAGTGTAGAGGTTCACCCTCCTCCTCGTACTATACCTACCTCCCCTGTTCCCTCCCAGGTTTCTTCCTCTTCTGCCACCTCCCAGGTTTCTGCCTCTTCTTCCCCCTTCCACACTTCTCCAGTTCCCTCCACCCTTTCGCCCCCCCTATCTTGGTACAGCCCATTACCATTCCAATCTTTACTCATCCTCCCCCTACCATCTCCAATATTGTCTCCCATATGTCTCTGAACTCCGAAGCACTTGAAGCAATCTCTGAATATATTGCAGAGACCAAACCATCAATGGACACTGATCCACCCTCTGCTCCTTCTCTCTCCTCTCCTCCATCTGCGCAACTCCTTTCTTCACAGCGCACCATTCCTTCGCTGCTTGAACGTTTTCCACTGCCTCCGCATGTGGACTTTTCTAACCCCTCTAGTCCGTAGGAACCCTTACCTACGGATTTCAAGTATCTTTATCATTGCCAATCATGGCCTATTTACAGTGGAATATACGCAGCCTCAGGGGTAATCGGGGTGAGCTTCAGATGTTACTCTCCCAGTTTTCCCCTGTTGGTGTTTGCTTACAGGAACCAAAATTACACTCTGCTGTTATCTCTCCCATCTTAGACTATAATTTATTGTATTCGTCAGATCCTTTTCCTGATGGGACCTTTAATGAAAGTGCTCTTCTTCTACGCAATGATATTCCGTACCATCAGCTATTTGTTTGTAGTTCGCTGCATTACACAGCAGCCCGT